CCCACCATGTGATTTATTTTAATTAACCAACACCAAAGCGGTGTCACTAATCCAACAAAACCATTAGAACCAACAGTCTAAACATTAATAGGATTTTCCCCATTGTGCACTAGTTGAACTAAGCATGGCTAAGCAATCCCTGGTCCAATCTCTAGTCATGTTATAACCCCAAGCTGACAAAGGGACAAGGTACAACAATAACATGGCTAAGACAATAGGTAAACATCCCATAGTAACATTATAAAACAATGCAATATTTGAAAGGAAACAATAGAGCATTTGCAATATAGGATCAACATGTTCAAGTGACAAGCATGACTTGCCTTGCTCTGCTGCTGGAGGAACCTCGGCGACTATTTCGAAGTACACCGGAGCGTCGGAGGAACCGGAATCTAGCGACATACAAGGCAAACATTGCAAACAGGCTATAAGACTACTGAAACAGGGAACAAAACCATTTTTAATGGATTCTACACATTTTTCTTGATTTACTGAGACTTGAATGGGCTTAAACGGAGCTCGGATGAATTAGTTATGAATTTTAGAAGATTCACTGTGTTTATTACTATACAAGAAAAACCTTAAATCATTTATTGCGCAATAAATCCCAGGGCTGACATCAGCACGGAGGGGGCGCGGCGCCGGCAAGCGGGCCCCACCGGTCAGCGGCTCAGGGGGAGCGGTTCACCGTGGACTGGGACCACGCGGGTGGTCCACCGCCGGTCCACGGGACCGACGGCCCAGATCGCCCTCGGGCCGATCGGACGGGCGGCGATAGAGGCGGCCGCCGGGCTTGGCTCGGCATCAAAGCCGACCGGCCGGCCATGGCTAGCGGCGACGGCGCGCGCGCGAACGCGTTGCCGGCGACGGCAACCGGCGGCAGAGGCGACGGCGCAAAAGCGACGCGAAAGCGGCGGCAGCGGACGGCGGCAACGACCAAAGGCGACGGCGAGCGCGGGCGGCGGCGACGCACGGGGAATCGGGGAAGTAAAGGAAAGGGGAGGGAGTTCCTCACCGAAGGGGACGGCGGCGACCGGCGACGAGGAGCGACGGAGGGAAGTCGACACGCGGCCGACGGCGACCGGGACGACCTAAAGAACGAAAAGAAAGAGATTAGAGAGGAAGAGAGGGGCCATAGGAGGCGGGAATACTGGCCGAAGGCGGCGGACATGGCAACCCTTACCGTCGCACGACGGGAACGGCTCTCCGGCGACGGACCTCGACGAAGGAGGGGTGGACGGGGTGGATCTTGGCCACGCGAACCCGACGGCGGCGACGGCGCGGTGCGGCGGCGAGCCTAGCGGCGGCTAGCGGCGGCCGGAGTAGCGGAAACGGCGGCGGCGGGTGGTTGCACGGCGCGGGAGCGATGGGGAGCACGAGGGAGTTCGGCGAGAAAGGGAAAAAGCGAGAGGGAGCGACGGGGAAGCTTAAATAGGGGAGGGGAGGGCCGGACGTGGCCGGGAGAGGCGGGATTTCGCCGGCCAACGTGGGGAAGTGGGGGAGGAGAGAGATGCGGGATTCGAAAATCGAATCCCGGCCATCTCGGGCGCGGGCGCGGGCGGGAGAGAGAGGGGAGTGGGCGCGGGGGACGCGGCGCACGCGCGGGCGTGGTCGACGTGGCCCGGAGGAGGCGGAGGCGTGGCGGCGGTTGCGGGCGCGGCGGTTGCGGGCGCGGCGCCGGCTGGAGGAGGGAGACGGGCCCGACAGGTGGGCCCCACCTGTCGGCGACCCCGAGAGAGGAGGGAGGCGGGACGGCCTGGATGGGCCTCGGCCTGCGGCCGGCCCAACAGGGAGGAGGGGGAGGAAAGGAGAGAATGGGCCAGCGGCCCATTCGAAAAAAAAGGAGGAAAAAGGGAGGAAAAAGAGAAAGAAAAAGGAAAAAGGATTTTCCCTGGAATTAAAATATTGCTTGCTCAATTTTAATTGGTTAAAATTATTTCTAGAGCTCTGAAAATTCCACTAAAAATCCTGTTAGTGAATTTCGACATGTAGAACTCAAGCAAAATTCTACATGCCAAATCCGATTATTATTTGCATTACTTTCTTAGGGTTTTCTCTTGATTTGCACCTGCATTTTCTTGGGGGGTCGTTTATAAATTAAATTTTTGGCTTGGGAGGAAAACTTCGGGGTGTGACAATGAACGCATGGCCGCACATCGGTCCAATGATCCCCAGCCGACCATTCCTCCTGCAATGGTGAGCCCATCAGGAAATCGTAGCAGCTGCGCCTCAACGGGGCAAGTAGGATCACAGAGCATGGACGCCATGCAAACCCAGGACGAAACCACCTGCCCCGTTGATGACATCACTCAGCGGACACCATGTGAGCTGCATATCCCCTTCAAGAACTTATCAATAAAGGTAAACTCGTAGTTTATAGATTTTAGATTTGGCCATTCCGCTAGTTGCTGCTTATATATGTTGATTACTAATAAATAACCTCTCACCACATGAAGGTGGCGTCGGGCATGGCCATCTCAACGGACCCTTCAGGTACTTACCACTACAGGCCGATTCCAGCAGGATACTCCAAGGTCGAAGTTGAGTTGGTCGAAGGCGCGTACGAGGACCTCGAGCTGGATTACCCTGGAGGAGACGGTGAGACGCATCTACAAGACACAAGCCACGCCATTATTCTATGGCGCAAGCGGTACATCATCCTCCCTGGGCGACAAGCGGCGTCTCGTGCACTATCTCCTCCGGCTCCGCCATCTCCTCCTCAGGCTCCTACACCGTCTCCTCCTCATGCTCCAGCACCGTCTCCACCTCAGGCTCCTGCACCGACTCCTCCTCAGGCTCCTGCACCGACTCCTCCGCAAGCTCCTCTTCCGGCACCTTCTAAGTCAAGGGCCCCCCAAGCTCCACCACCTGCCCCCACAAGGGCAACGAAGAAGGCGAAAATTGACGCCGCCAAGAACAAGGACCCAGGGTACGATTGCACGCAAGAGGAGCTTGACGCTTACGTGGCATCAGAAGTCAGGAGACAATTCAAGCCTCGAAGTCCAGAAAAGAAGATTCCTATAGACCCGAGTGTCAAGAACTTCTTCAGGGGTATGTCTACACCTGCCAAGGAGGCCATAAAGCTATTGGACTATGAGCGAACACTCAAGAAAGCATCTTCTGGAAAGTCCAAACCAGTCCCTCAGCTTGGAGAGCAACCAAACTAGGAGATCGAGCCGTTGGTGACCGGTGAAGATTTTGGAATACAAGACTTTATTAATGACACCGGGCTAACTACGGATCAATTGCTAGGAGACGCACCAATCGAAAAGGCGGAAGTGAAATACATGTACGAACTCGGTAAACCGCTTGTCAAGCCTGAGCTGTTGCAGTCCCTACCCACACAAATGTACAAGTTCCATCAGCTGTATATGGAGATGAGCGCCACCGGTAGAGAGATGATCGGAGCGAGGATCAGGGACACGGACTTCTTGCAAGGAGATGACATTCTCTGGATCAATTTCAAGGGAATCTACGAACTATACCAGCTGGACGCCCTCGACGTCTCTATTATGAGTTGCTGGATTTTGTAAGTATATTGTTCGGTTAGACTTCTTACTACATCTCCTTTAATTAATTAGGTCCTTCTATATAAGTAGACTATATATAATATATACTCCCTTTTATCGTTGTAGAATGGAGATTCAAAGGGCCCGATGGCGGGGGTTTTCGATACTGGATTCATTGACCCCCGGAAAGTAAACGTCGCAATGCTCGACCAATATCCGCAAGCCACAGAGGACAATCTCGTCCATCTCCTGAAGGCGCAGCATTACAAGACGTTCATACTGTTGCCGTACAACACAGAGTTAGTTTAATTTTACTGTCTTCCTATACCAAATTTCATTCCCGTACGAACATGCTAAGTGTTTCATATGTAATGCATCCCACGCACATTGCAGATTCCACTGGGTGCTTTTACTCTTCGACTTGGAGGCCTGCACCGTCAACGTATATGACTCAATGGATAAAAAAGAGTCTACGTTTGATAAGGTTTTCGAACTTATAGACAGGTACTGTCATAAGTTCCTATGTTAATTAAGAATCTTGTTATAGTTAATTGCTACTACGAATCATAGCTTTAAACTCCATATAGGGCTTGGTATCGGTTCCGTCATTTGGTCCGCGGCAAATGGAGAGAAAGACTTAGGCGGAAGTTCAAATTTCCTGTGATTACACATGCTCTACATTTATATTTCTCCGATTCAAATACATACAAGTGTATATTAATTAGATCTCTCGTCATTTATTTATAGTGCGTAAAGCAAAAGCAGGGAACTAACTTGTGCGGCTACTACGTGTGCGAGTATTGCCACTGCCTTGCAGACCAAATCATCACCACAAGAGAGCTCGATGTACGTACAAATAAATTCAAAATTTCATTACGTATCGATTTGTTGTTTAATTACTAATCAATTTCATACATTCATATAGTTTATTCGCATGAGGGATAACCTGATCACACACAAGGAATTTATCGCGGTGGTTCAAGAACAACTTATGGGATTCATCAACGAACAAATCCTTGATCCCAAGGGTGAATTCTACTACGACGGAAACACAATTCATAGGTCCTTAGCTTCTGAGATAGCGACTACTACTACGTCGAAATCGTAGCTAGCTAGGACATATAATGAATTATAATTAATACATGACTATGTTTCTATATGCATGTGTACACATTTTCTATAATGTAAATATATATTTTAGTCATATATATATATATATGCATTTGCATAACATATATATGTATAAATACATATATATTATGCATGTACATATGTATTGAAACATATATAAATATAATATAATATATATATACATATATATGTATTGAAACATATATATATATATGTATGGTTTATATATATATATATAAACCATGCAGCAACAGGGCCATGCAAACAAAAAAAAGTTAGCTCGATCTAACACCAACCGGTACTAAAGATGGCTCAGTCGGGCACTGGATGATCGCCGGACACTGGTCGATTACGACATCCAGGAGTCCACGCTCCACCTCGCCGTCCGCCTCCGCGGCGGCAGCCGCGGCCACTATCCCTGCCTCGCTCCCGGCCTCCTCGCCCTCGCGCGCAAGTACATCGAGATGAAGATGATCTGCCGCAAGTATGCACACGCTTCCGATCCGATCGATCCAAAACTCAAGTGGGGTTAATTTTGGGAGTACCCCTGGTTAATTTGAACATGCATCTATCTAGTTCGCTCCGTTCAAACAAGACGCAGTAGCTTTGTGTTGCAAATTAAGTAAACTTTGTCTTTGCATGATTGCATCAACGGTATGAAATGCGAAAGGAAGGAATCTCAATTGGTGTGCATCTCAGCTTTCTGATGATTTTGATTCACAGCCGCCTTGTTTGCATAGTTAATTAGTTTCTTGATTAGTTGGGTGGATTCTTGATGGGCATAAATGATGAATTAATTAGACGTGTACAGTTACATTATTATTGAGCTAGAAGCCTATAACCCTTTTGCGGCAAATGTATTATCTGTCTGTCCTTTTAATCAACTTGTTTAACTGTTTGCCTCTATGAGTTTTGAAAGTTTTGTCATTTGCTAGCCATTTACTTAAGCTTGCTTTACTGCTTAACTTAGCAAATCAGTCATAATGGACTAAAATCTTTAGGCACAAACTTCTGACTTTGCCATTCATGGATGTGCTGTCTCTTTCTTTCCCTGAAGAAGCTAGATAAGTTGTTCCGCTACTAACATTTTCTTTTCTTGCAGGTGCTATGCACGCCTTCCCCCCAGGTCTACAAACTGCCGCAAGAAGAAGTGTGGTCACAGCAACAAGGTGAGCCTTGTTATCAAGCTATCGAAGTGTTCTTTGTGTGGGCTTTCGCTGATTGTCTTATTGGCCATGGCCGTCTTAACTGTATCCATATTCTTGGCTTGAGTCATCAGTAATCCTGGCAGCATCCATGCATGTTCTTAATTAGCAGCATTTCAACCAATGTCTTAATTTATGCTTGTTTCAGAACTGTCATTGCTTGGTATCTATAAATATTCTTATTAAGCCATTTAGGCATCAATACTTGCACTTTGACATTATGTTGTGTTTTTCACAGTTTTGAACAGTCTGTATATAGTAAGTGTACACTTGGATTCACTAGGTAGATGATAGTGGATTTAAGGTGACAAACATGAATTCCTTCATTCTTTGATCTGATGTATTTTACAACATTCCTGTTTTCTTTTTCAGCTAAGGCGTAAGAAAAAGTTAAAGGACTACTGAACCATGGGAATGGAAAAGCGAACGAAACGATGATATATATACAGCTGCTGTCAGTTGAATACTTGAATGGGATGTCTTTAAGTCTTAACATGATAGAACTACCGCTGCGGTTAGTTGAATGAGATGTCTTAGCATGATGGAACTGCTGTTATTAGTATCATACTGGAGTTTAACTTCAGCCCTAGCTAGTTTAACATTTCCTGCTGGGTTATGAACCTTGATTACCCGTTTCCATATGCTAATGGTGGTTTAATTTTGAAGCATGGCAGTTACATGCTCCAGAAACCCCGGCTGAAAGTTGCTGAACTTTTTTTTTATCACACTATGGATATTACTGCATCGTGATGGTTCGGATAGAAATGCTAGTTGCAGATGAACATTGCAAATATTAATCTTCTGGATGCAATGTTCCCTAGCTGTCTACTGTGTATCGACTAGAAGTGATTTTTGAGAAGATACCGAGAGGTGCGTAAAATTTGATATATTTTGGTACCACTAATAGAAGGTATCAAATCTACGCTAAATTAAAAAAATTAATATCTTTTTATGTGAATGAATTTTAGTATATTTTATATTTCGTCGTAGGTTGTTTATGAGTAATTCAGGACGAAGGAAGTAGGTAAGTGTGTATTTAGTTCGCGAAAAGAAAATTGTTGGGTGTCACATCGGACGTTTGACCGGATGTCGGAAGGGGTTTTCGGACATGAACGAAAAAACTAATTTCATAACTCGCCTGGAAATTACCGTGAGATGAATTTATTAAGCCTAATTAATCCATCCTTAGCAGATGTGGGTTACCGTAGCACTTATGGCTAATCATGGACTAATTAGTCTCAAAAGATTTGTCTCGCGATTTTCATACATAATTAGTTTTTTATCTATATTTAATACTCCATATATGTGTCAAAGATTCGATGTGACGTTTTTGGAAAAAAAATTGGGAACTAAACAAGGACAAGCATCACACGTTTTTGAAAATTTTTTTTGGAACTAAACAAGGACGAGCATCACCAACAGTCTACCTATCTTATTCCCAAAACTGATTTGGAGGGATTTTAGCCAAAAAAAAAACAGCTTCAACGGATCCCCTACTATCCTACCCGAGTTTTAGAGTTCCCTTCTCCCGATTCCTTGTTCAGTTTGTATACGGACACTAAAGTTGCTCCCAATCTCGCCCTCCCGCCTCTCTCCTCCCGTTCCCACGCGTGGGAGATAGCGATCTTTCTGAGCGTGAAAGAAAAAAAACGGAATTTTCTCCTCCCGTTCCTGCGCGTGGGAGATAGCGATCTTTCGGCGCATGAAAGAAAAAAAATGGAATTTTCCGTTGGTAGTTTAACAGAAGGGCCCACTTTTAAGTTTTGGGGATTGAATTTAGACTATCTGTTAGAGGAGGAGTTTTTTCACTTTCTATTCTTCTATCTACTTTATAGTTCAACAAATGCTTTCACTCATTCTTTCATTCATCACTCAACTATTCAAATCATCTGGTGAAAATCCAACGGTCCAAATAGATCACTAGCCTCCCACCTCCATCGAACGCGTCATCGCGCTGCCCCTAATCGCCTCCCTCAATCCCGCGCCGCATCCTCCTCCCTTCCTCTCTCTCTCTCGCCTATCGCCTCGCCTCCCCCAGACGCCGCCGCCACCGTCGCCTCCCCCAGACGCTGTCGCCTCGCCTCGCCCGCCCTATCGAGCCCACCCCCTCCCTTCCTCACTCTCGCGCCTCGCCGGGGGGCGGGACTGGCATCCTCACCGGCAATGGCGATGGCTACTCGGCCGCCTTCTCCTGGTGAACAGTGGGGGCCCACCTCGCGTTTAGGAAGCCCGTGGTGGTGCTGGTGGTGGTACCATCGGCAGGCCCTGGAAGCGTTGTAGAAGCGGTGGTCGCTTGCCATGCCTCCGGCCGAGCTCCACGGCGGTGCCCATCATCCCTTCAATCGTGCCCACTCTCCAGCATCAAAGCTCCATCATCGCCCCCATCCTCGCCGCGTTCTCCGCATCTTTTGCTAGACGCGGCATGCTCTCCACGAATCCACCAATGGCATGCCTTGCCTCACTGGCTCACTTCTGAGTCATCGTCCTGACTATGCCGGCTTTGCCCTCCATCTTGTTGAGATTTTACAGGTTGGTTGGCGACCTTGGACCTTGGTCATTTCTTTTCTTGATTCTTCCCTCATGTTACATGTATATGTGGTTATTCATGCTTTCTGCACAACTTTTCTTGATTCTTCTATCATGTTACATGTATCTGTGGTTATTCATGCTTTCTGCAGTCTGCAGATCTCTGATATCCAAATACGATATGTCCGCTTCCCACGATACTACCAAATGTTGCTAATAGTGATCAGATTTACATAGTATGTTATGCCTGGAAATAAATAGAGAATGCACTGATCAACTTAAATTCCCGGTTTTTTGTTACAGAAAATATCTTCTTCATTTGAATGGAGATGTGACCCTGTATGCTCTTGCTTCATGCTAGCAGTGCATGGCATGCATTTGACATTTTTTTTAAAGCGGGCAATTAATATATGGATCCTCTAATCTTTAGTAATTTTATTGGTTTCTTTTCGAGAATAAAAGAGATTGGGCACACTCCAGGACTGATTCACGCACATACGGATTTATGTGGTTGTCTGTCCTCGTAATGGTAATTCTGTGCATTGCACTATCGCAGTTCTTCTTTTTCGAAGCCTTTTCTAGGTTTCCGTTATCAAAAGATATCTAATTTGCAGAATATATACTAGGTGGTGGAGATTTTATTTCCTTCAGGACATAGATGTTGCAAGCTATTGCAAAAGCTTATGCCTCTAAACAATCATATTCTTGCAGAGTGGAAATTTAATCTGGGGGTAAATCTTGCATATTTCTTTGTTTCAGCAGCAGTTATTACGCTCACATTTTTTCTAGCAATGTTGGTTCCATGTGCACAACTTACTATTAACTTTCAATGTGACAGTTTTAACATATTCGATGGCGCTGAACGTAACATCCCAAATCATGAATTGCTGGTGGCCAGGTGAAGCCACCTAATGGTTCTCAAATCTTAGTTGTGATGTGGCGGTGATGAGCAAGCTTGGACAAGAGCCCAAATAAGATATGACTTAAAGTGGTGCAAGTTAATCAGGACAGCAAAGACGCTTAGTCTTATGAAGAAATGTCACATATACAGGAAAGGATGAGATTGGCCAAAATGTTTTTTTAGTCTTCTGATTTGCAGATGCTTGATTGGAGTTATCCTGCTCCTGCCACAAACAGGAAATGGTAAGAACTAAGTAGAGTGTATACTCACATGCATATATATCATTGAGTTGGGTGATTCTAAATTAATATTTGGCACATTGTAGAAAATATTGGTTTCAAGCTATTTTTTTTATCAAGCATACATGACCTAAAAGGCATATGGTTTCTATCGTAACGGTTGATAACTCCATATTGATCTGTTCTTTAGAAATTCATGAAATAGACATTTGCATGACATCTGGAATGGTTATCTTCTTTGTTGAATGTTCTTTCAAGAACTTGCACCTTTTTGTTTAATCTTGTAAATTTGATGTGTAATTGAGCTTGTAGGGTGAGAGAATCAAGTGTGATTGAGCAGATCTATACTCTATGTACTGAGATTGTGTAGAGTAAAGACGATGTAGTATTTCCTTTTATAATACAATTTGTCACGCTTCATTTATTTTTCTTATGGAGCACATGTTGATTTCAATCATTGGAATTTGTTCTACCCTTTTGGTATGAAATTTCTCTTACTGATTAAATGATCTTGGTATGAAATTTCCCTTTTGGTATGGAATTTGTTATACCTGTCCTGATGTGATGTCCACTGCTAGAGTCCTACTATTTAGCAGAAAATCAGTGAGATAATTGATAGTCCCCCTTGACCATAATGGTGTATCAAATCTGTTCTGGGACAAGGTAGGCAACATGGCATCAAGCCACTCCAAAGGACAAAATGTTGCTTTGTGACAAGTGAATAATACAGCCACTTTCTGGTATCGAGTCTAGGTTGCCCATTTTTTATTTTTCTTGATTTTTTTTCATGTTCTTAAAAAAATGCTTCAACAGAAGGATCATTTGAGATTAAGAAATGATCCTTTGAAGATTTTTGTTTTTTTGCTGTTAAAGCCTCATCATATATCTTGCTAATTATGCTATATGAGCAATCATACAATCAATTATTTATGCAAAGATGATTAAGTGGAACATTCAAGATTCAAAGTGGTATATAATCAAGTATTCTTGCTGCCATTGCAAGTATATTAATTAGATCACTGCTGGCAATTGGATGTTGAAAATGCAATAAAAATGTTGAGGCATGGAGATTTATGGTATTTGACATTATGGCCCATTTGTTTTATTGGTCAATGGCATGTGTCTTGCCCATCAGCACTGTAAATTTGTAGGTTGCGAAACCAATAAACTAATTAGTTGGGCTATTTTATTAGTTACTGAAGTGTGGAAAATGAACTGCAGATCACTTTTTTTTTTCAGGAGAGCTGAACATCATTTTATAGATAAGCATAAATCTTTTTTATGAAACAACACTGAACTATTTTATGTTATGTGCAAGTGCAACCCCCACAAAGTGATTTTTTTTTAAAAAAATATTTTGGTTCCAATATATTAGGTTTAATTTGTATGTTGATCATAACGTGCATCGGTGTGCAGAGGCTATACTGCTCAAAATGGATTTTCTTATCTTCCAAAGAAGCGCTTAAGCTCAAAATGATAAGTCGGTGAAGTGCATATTGTGTTGTTCAAGAAACCTGGAGCGTTTGATCTGCATATGTAGCTGTTGAGCTCTTTTTTTTTTGTCGAACCTATTGAGCGCATATTTCACTCTAAATGGTTTTGGGAACTCATATGTGTGGCATGACTGTTCTGTTATTTCCTTCAATTAAGCCTAGCAAGTACATGATTAAAAAGATTGTTCATATTATTCACTGCATATTTATTTCATCAATTCTTTTGTGCTGTTTCTCCTCAGGAGAGAATGAGTTGGTGTAGATGCTTCTTTCCCTTGTCATTATGTTTTCTTCCCTGAATTCTTTTATCTGCTCTTCCATTTCATGCCATGTTGATATCATCCCCATGTGATATGGTGACAATGTTTTCAGTATTCTGCCATTCACTTGTTAAGATCTAGAAGATTAAGGTATTTTTCGAATATCTATTCATTGGTTGCCTTGTCCCTTGAACCTCATAGATGGGAATCATTATCAATCTATCATCCTAAATATAAACTACTCCTTACTGCGCATGATAGCCATTCTATTTTGAGTTTTATAGAGCCATGATACAATGTCTGTAAGAGATAAGCGACGGATACACCACCGCCGCCATCTGTCAAGGCCTTGAGAGGCCGAGAATATTCTCTCTCGGTATTACGAACCAGCTCAGAAACATACTCTATAATGTCCATTCAAAAACATACTCTGTAATTTCAGAGAGGAGTAAGTGCCAATATAGTGGTTTTAATTAACATCCAAACAATATAGATAGAATGCGAGCATGTGATACTTCTTTGTTTATAACAATTTTGTGTATCAATCTTTTTTGCGAATTTATCTCATTCTAGACTTGGCAAAATATGTTTTCTTTCTTACGGTTGTTCGATATATATCATTAAACATTGCCGTAGCGTTAGCACGAGCGGATTACTAGTTTTCAGTTTAGAAAAAAATATTTTTTTAGAGAGAGATAATAGATAATCTGTTGCTGATGCTCTAAATATTGAAGGAGTCTAACGAGTCTGACGGGCGACGGTCGACGGCCCAGCTCCGTTTCATTCGGTGGAGTCTTCGCCGTTTGGCGATAGACGGCTGGGCCCTCTCCGGCTCTCCGCCAACCTCGCTTCTCCCCGCGATGCGACCCCGAATCCCGCCGCCGGCCGGGGCTCTTGCTCCGCTCCCCCCTCGACCAGGGGCCTCCTCTTACCTTCCGAGGCCGTCTGCATCCCATCAGATCCCGACCTCCCGTGCTCCGCCTGCCGACGCCGGCCAGAGTGCTCCAGGAGCAAACCAACCAGAGGCCAGAGCCACTGGCCTGCCAGGGAATGGTAATACGCCGGCTCCGGCCTGAGAAGCGCATCCTGTTGATGAAGAAGAAGAAGAATAGGAAGAATACAAGGCAGGTAGTATGGGTATTGTCCCATCTTAAATTTTATATTCAGCCTGCAACCTAGCATTTTGATCTGTTTCGCCTCCAAATGAGACGATTATCAGCAGTGGTAGGTAGAGGATTATTGTATTACTTGTGGGAAAACCATAATATTAATGTATGCTACTGTTGGTACTGGGGAGTGAGAACTCGCCCAGTTGGAACTGCCCACGATTTCGGCTTCGTTTCATGACAAGAGTAATCAAATTGACCAAATGCAGGCCTTCCAGGAATTTGAAGATGCAGATATAGTTGACCTTCACACGGACGACCTTGCAACCGCTTCTACCTACCTGAAATATGATTGATGATAGTAGTTTCTTCCTCAGCTGCACTTCTTCCACCTCCTCCAATCTGCACTTGTGCAGCCTGTGACGCCTGAGAATACATCAAGTGAGGCTCCATTTCGTAACTGCTCGTCGCTCGTCCGTGCAGGAGCCTATTAACCTACAGGTACCAAAATCGAATTTCTTGTCAGTTCTAATTTCCTCCTCTATTTCTACTTTACTTTTGCCAAAACATGATATAGTAGAGTGCCCGACATGGGATGCGTAGGAAACGCTCATTCTTGAAGTTGAACCGATTTTGAAACTTAAAAGGGGACTGTTGCTATTTGAAGACCCTATTATACATAGCATAGCGACAACCTTCTCCAAACTTGTTACTAACAGACTAGCCTCTTAATTCTATTCAGAAATAGCATATCAAGATCATAGAAAGGAGAAGATAAAAAAACGAAGTCCCTTTTTTTACATCAGGAACCTTTCTAGTGTTCCATTGGCATCCCCATCACTCCGCCAAAAAGAACTTTATCAAATACTAGTTCCTTGCAGCTAGCAGTATAGAGCACTAGTACGTTATGAGTAACTATAATAAAATTGTCATCCTCCAAACTGTCACCCTTCAATTATTATCGTTGATTCAGTTTTCTGGCAGATTCAAGTTCCACTAGCCCCATTCCTGTGATGATTGATCAGATTTTGCACCTCCCTCTGCGTATAATTGGTTATTTCCTTCATCTTAATGGCCAATGTAGTTGGTGTTAGGGATCGTTCTTACACCTTTTTCCAAAAGCAAGAAAATTTGGTTTTAAAAAAACATGGAAAATATTTGCCATGCACATACATATAACATAGGGAGAAGAATAAAAGGGGTAAAATCCTAAAACATAGGCCAACTGGGTGAGCAATGTTTATGCATATAAAGCCTTCATTCTTTCATATAAAATATTTTTCTAGATCTGTACTGCTATAAATAATATTTATCATATATATTTATGTGACAACTGCTAAAATTAGCTCTGTCTTGCCACATTTGTTTCTTCAAATTAAAATTGTCTCATCTTCTATTCGCAATAAAACTAACCAGAAATTTTACACATGACTTCCTCAGAAATCAGAAAAGTATTCCATGTTTTCTTTTTTTTTGGCTTTGCACATTATAAACTACAGAAAAAAGATATATAGTGATTTCAGTAATGCACCATCTTCATGAATTTGCAGGCACAATATAACTATATCTTCTGTTCACTCTTATGGGAGATTGGTATGAACAATTTTCACAATCTTTTAAGGATGCTGCTAAGGAAATGTTGGCAAAAACAGATATTGATCCAAACGTTAAGTGCTTCACAAGAAAGCAGATGAAGCGCATTTCAAACAACTACAGAACTATCCTTGGGAAAGGGGGCTTTTCTGTGGTGTACAAGGGTAGGCTCAATGATGGCCGTGCAGTGGCAGTCAAAAAATATAATTGGAAAACACAGAAAAAGGAGTTCACAAAAGAGGTAATCATACAGTCTCAGTTTAGCCATAAGAACATTGTTAGGCTATTGGGGTGTTGTGTTGAGGCAGATGCTCCAATGTTGGTCACTGAGTTTGTCCCCAATGGTAACCTTTCCAACCTTCTGCACAGCAACAGTAGCCAGTTTCCTGTTTCATTAGGGACACGCTTACAGATTGCACTGGATGTAGCAGAAGCACTTGTATATATGCATTCCTCCCAAAATCATCCAATCCTTCATGGAGATGTCAAGCCTTCAAACATTCTTCTGGGTGACAAGGATGTGGCAAAACTCTGTGACTTTGGAATATCAAGGCTGTTATGTATGGATAGTGACGAATACACGGGATTTGTTATAGGAAGTAGAGGCTATGTAGATCCTGTGTTCTGCCAGACTGGGCGGTTAAGTCTAAAAAGCGATGTCTACAGTTTTGGGGTTGTTCTTTTAGAACTCATCACCAAAAAGAAAGGAATTGATGACAAGAAAGTGTGCCTTGCAGAAACTTTTGCTCGCATCAGTAGAAAAGGTAATGGACACGAACTATTTGACATGGACGTTGTAACAAATGAGAATATGGAGTTTCTTCAAGGAATTGGCAGGCTTGCACTTGAATGTATAAAGTTTGAAGTAGAGGAGCGGCCAGAAATGAAAGAAGTTTTAGAGCGCCTTTGGAGTCTCAAAAGATCCCGAGATAGGAGAATCCGTGAGATGCAGGTTATGGTACGGAGCGAGATTGAAGTACTTTGGAGAAGATGTGGCTTTGGTAGGTTTATGATCTCGAAAGAGAGAATGGACGATATGACATACTACTTCAAAACTGTTCTCAAGGAATGTGCATCAGGCAAGGCTTACATAGGGAGATTTTGCAACGCACAACTGCTGGTAATAAAGATGTCGATTTCAGTTTTAGATCAATGGAAAAACATAGTCTGGAACGAATTGAATGTCCAATCTAGAATTAAGCACTGGAATGACGCCAAGCTTCTCGGTTACTGCTTAGATCTTTGGGAAGGTCTAGTGCTTGTATACGAGTATGGTGCGATGAGCTTGTATGATGTTCTTTTTCATGATGCAAGGAAGGTATCTCCCTTCATTTGTGGCCTGCGCCTGAAGATTGCGGTTGGCGCTGCAGAGGGCCTTGCTCACTTGCACTCACTTGGCATTGTGCATGGCAATGTCAGCACTGTCAATATATTGCTGGATGATCTTTCGGTACTCAAAGTGATTAGCCGCAATTACCCAGTAAAGATTGCAGGCTATGGAACATCAGGGCTCCCTGACATTGACAAGGCACAGCACACAGGATTCTTCATGGAGGATTCGCTTGTAACCAGTCATGGGAAGGAGCATGACGTATACTGTTTCGGTCTTGTTCTCCTAACGCTCTTCACATGGAAGAAGGTGTCACTGCAAGAGGCGGATACCGTGTTTGAGCAGCTCTGGGACATTGGACCGCCACATGATGTGAATTCCGAGCCTGAGAAACCTGGGCAACAGCTCAAGGAAGCCATCCTTAGATGCCGTCATCTTGAGGAGGTTAAGAGCCTGGTTTCACGGTGTCTGACGTCCGAGGTGACGAAGAGACCATCCATGGTGGAAGTAGCAAAACATCTCAAGAACATAAATGATTTACATGATAGCACAGCTTGCCATGAGCTGGCGATTTATCAATCTCGAATGCTTTCGGGCTAGGCTAGGCTGCAAGTAGCAGTCGTACATGGTTCTTCTTTGAGTAAATTAAGGTGCCGTAGTAGATGCTATAATGCAAGCGCCAAGCAACATATTACATATGTGTATTTTATATCCCGACAAAGAAAAAAAGACATGTGTATTGCATATATTTTGTAACAGCAACGGATGTTTGTCATGTTGATTCTCGTGGCGCTGCTGCCATATAATGTTGATTGACAGATCCTTGGGGAACCAACGGATGAACTAATGGACCTCTCGGCATCCTTTGCCAATGACTCTTGCTTCTTCTGAGGTTTGGTGGCTCTTTCTTGTTTCTAATTCTTATTCAGTGCATTTGCCTACATCTGGCCCTTTGGCCTTTCTTTCTTGTGGCCGATTTTGCTCGATCTTTATTTTTTGTGTAACAGAAGAAATTTACTACGGCTCATTTGCTCCAGTGCATGCAGGTCCTTGTGGCCCTTTGGATGGTACTGTTTCTTGTATTTATGTATTTGTGAAAATTTCCAGTTTTAACCTCTCTTGTGGCCTTGTGGGCTCCAGGTGGAAGTGTGTCTGGGGTAAAAAAATCTTTTGAAAGGTTTTGCCTTAAAAGAGTTTCCAAAGTTCATTTCCATATGTGGAGGGATGATGGTCCTGATTGTAAATTTGTAATTATACACATAATAATTTGCTATCCTTACGATGACACCATTGCTAGGGCCGGTCCTGACATTTTGGAGGCCCTAGGCGAACTGCGAACTTACACTATGAGCCCTTAAGAAATTAATGATTTTTTTTACTTCTAATATATATACTCTATATAAAGCACATTGATTTATCATAGAGTGACACAGATAAACATTTCTAACATGATAAATTATAAATAAAGCAGTTTGCAAATTGCAACAGAGCAATTTATTCTCGATAGATAATATCGATAGTATAATTGACAACTAAAAAAACACCATAGAAATAAATTAATATGAATACCTTAATAGGAGACCACAAATATCTCATGTCCCTTATAAAAAAAAAAGAGCTTCTTCACACATTTTTTGAAGCGAAATCATCGATGACACAATGCTACATATAGCCAAGCCATTCAAACTTTCCTGTGACATAGTTGACCAAAAATTGATATTCTCGTTTTCTTTTGTTTTTTTTCTAAACACCCAACAAATATTTCCTAGGTAACATTATTATAACACCTGAAATAGTGAAATTGCAAAGTAAATTATATAACAATAACTATGAATTGAAATGATAGAGGCATAGCCGTATAGAGCCAGTTGGGCAGTTGGTTCTTGCACTGGTGGAGAAAGGGGCTTTACTCCCGGTTGGGGACCCCCTGTAGTCCCGGTTATACAACCGGGACTACGAATCCGGGACTAAAGATGGGTATCTTTACTCCCGGGTGAAATCTTTTTTCTTAAATCGATTTGCTCCCTAAATATCCCCGATCACATTCCCAAATCATCCCCAAATCAAAGTAGCATCACAGATCTAAAAAGAAATACATCACATATTGAAAAGAAATGCATCACAGATCATAATACATCACATCACAGAATCTTAAACAAAAAATACATCACAAATCCTAAAAGAAATACATCACAACTCCCAGATCAGATCCAATATCACGTACATCACAGATCAAATCCAATGAATCACAAATTCAAAAAAAAAAATCGGCAACAGAGAGGATGGCGCTGCCGGCCTCCCGGCCACCGTCCTCGCGAGCTCGCCCGGCCGACCGCCGCGCCCGCCCGCCCGGCAGGCCGCCGCGCCCGCCCGCACGGCGGCGGCCTGCCCGCCCGGCTGCCGCACCCGTCCGCCCGCCTGCCGCACCCAGACGGCCGGCCGCCGCCGCTCCCGCCGGGCGCCGCTGCTCCCGCCCGGCCGTCGCAACCACTCGCTCGGCCGCCGCTCAAAGAGGGGAAGGGGAGGAACGGGAGGGGAAAGGGGAGAGGAAGGGGATGAAGGGGGAGAGGAAGGGATGGAGGAGTAATGAGAGGGGAGGAGATCGAGAGGAGTGCGCAATAATATCTGAGTTGGTGGCGCGTTCGGGGTACTCTTTACTCTCGGTTGGTATAAACAACCGGGACTAAAGATCATGTTTAGTCCCGGTTGTTTATACCAACCGGGAGTAAAAATAATTGATATAAACAATTATTTTGGCGGCGCGCGGATAATATCTGGCGCGTGGTTCGGGGTACTCTTTACTCCCGGTTGGTATAAACAACCGGGACTAAAGATCTATTTTTAGTCCCGGTTGTTTATACCAACCGGGAGTAAAAATAATTGGGGTCTGTCTTGAACCCCATGACTTATTGAACCGGGATTAAAAATGATCTAACACCAACCGGGACTAAAGATCAAAAAGTACCCCTCAACTTTTAAACCGGGACTAAAGATGCTTTTTAGTCCCGGTTTTTATTAGAACCGGGACTATTGTGGAATTTGGCTGACCGACCAAAGATGGTTTCTCCACCAGTATTGGTTGACTTCTAGTTCTGCGACATACCTTCAGTTCAGGAGCGCCTGAGAGGAGAGGCGATGACGATCAGTCGATCACAGGAATCAAAATCAGGCGGGCGGCAGGCAGCCAGGCACCACCGCACCCACCATGGGCCACCAGCCACCAGGCAGGCAAGCAGCCATGCCGCCTCCTTAGGCGGGTCGGCGATGGCAATCAGCTGATTAGGCGCACTGGCGCTAGAGCCTAGAGGTGGCAACTGCGGCATGGCGCACTCTCGGCTTTCGCGGTCGCGGATTAGGGCATTGGCGATTCGGCGACGAACCGACACGGCTCGATCTTGGGTCTCGCGAGTCATGGTGTGGACGACAGACAAAGCGACGCGCCTCTGGCTCCTGCTGATGATCGATCGCACGCGCGACTGGGTTACTAGGCTACGGCTGGGCTAGGAGAAAGGAGGGGGGGGTACTCCATCCTCTTTAGCCGATGTCGTATGTCGACATCTGCGCGACGACGAGGATGACCTGGAGCCATCAGCGGCGCGGATTGGGGCTGCGGTGGTGCGGAGCGTCGGCGATGTATGGAGCAGGCAGGATGAGACGACGGCAGGGGGCGGCGGTCGAGGGGGGCGCGGGTATAGGGGAAGGCTCTATGAGGGAGGAGGGGGAGTCGGTGGCGGCGGGTGACGGATTGGGGTGGCGCCGTTTTTTTTTGTTGCGGAGGAATCGTGTGCGCTTTTTTTTCGGAAGAGGAGTTCGTCGCTCTCAACGTGTCGATGTACGTCGCATGTCTACCTTGGCTTCACCATCACCACGTAGTAGAGATAACTGTGCCATGTGTAATTGTATTGTAAACATATGAAATTTCCGGTGTATTAAATTAGAGCCCACAGCTGTTCATTATTTTCTGATGAAATTACACCCGTACTGGGCCGAGTCGCGCATCCCCCGAGTCCCGAGTCGCGGTCGCGCATCGCCTCTACGCGAGGGTGCAAAGACAGAAGGAGGGATGACTGAGGCAGCGGCGGTGGCAGTGGTGCCGGCTGCCTCCTCTCTCGCGACTAGGGCGCCAGGCGGAGGTTTGGGCGGCGCCGGCTGGAGGTTTGGACGGCTGAGGGCTCACGGCGGCACTTGGCAGTGGGAGCGGCTCCCCACAGCCACGGAGGCGCACGGCGGCGCCGCATAGAAGATCTGGTGCAAGGTAACCCAAACCCTAGACTCTCTCCCTCAAACCCTAGACATCTCAAATCTGGTTCATTTTTTGGGATTGATTGCCTGGATGCTGGTTAAAATTTCCGATATCTGTGTCTATTATTGCTTGATTTTTTCTGTATACTTCAACCACATTATCACTGTACTTGCCAACTTAGATTTCTAGAAAGATTTGGTCAGCAAAATTTAGTACCAACTTAGATTGGATACTTGTACTATCGATCCATAGATATAGTTTACATGAGATGTACACCAAACCAACTTGTGAAACAACAAAGAAAACCAACTGTAACATCGAGGAAAAAAATACTATTCAACACCTTTGAGACGACAGAGGGTGAGGTGCACACCTTTAATAAGGCAATGCACCTCATGTGTAAGCCTGCCAGTGGGGCGGGTTTGATTTGGTGAAATGGGCTGGATGCTGATTTGGATGGTAGTGGTTGGATTAATTTTGAATTGGAGCGGGTTGGCCTGTGAAGAATTGTGGTTTGGACTGGAGTGGATGCGGGATGGCCTGTGAGGACAATCCATGGACTCAGCCCATGGGTTAGCCAGTGCACCTGTGCACTGCGTGCCGCCACGCGCGGCGCAGAGCGCTGTCACCGCCGAGCGCCACCACCGCTGAGCACCGTTCACCGCCACCGCCGAGCGCCGTCACCGCCGTTCGCCGCCACCATCGCCGGACTCACTCCCCGGTCTGCGAGGAGGCAGCCGAGAGGAAGGTCGTTTTAGGCCTCGTCAAGAAGAGGGATCGGGCAGGCACAGTCGCTTGGCATCCCGCTCTCCACCCTCGACGACCACCTGCGCATCGACCTCGCCATCGACAGCGCTGAGGTTTTGACCTTTTCTTTCACTTCTTTTTGATTAATTCAGTTCCATGCTGATTGTTTGTCCTGCAATCCCTTCTACCTTTGCTAACTTCCCTCGCGAGAAAAAAAAAGTTGTAGCTTTATGGAGAAAGTAGGACAAAAAAAAAGAAAACTTATATGGTTGTGGCTAAGGAACTTAAATTGGCAGCTCATGCAGGAGGTCACGTTCCAGATTATGAAGGAGAGAACAGTCTTAGTTGTCAGTTCTTGATTATGCTGTTAGTGGCATGAACTTCAGTGGTAGTCAACCATGCAAAAAATTTGCCCCCATTGTACTCCTGGATGGTTGGAGGACAATCTGTCTTTTTTTTTTTTGTCATGCAGATTAGCTAGTAGCATTCGAGAGGGTCTATCTTTGTCATTTTCTTTTTCTGCTGTGTAGATTTGCATCTGAAAAGTGGATAATTTAGCAATATGTCTCTCTGTTGTAAAGGGGTGGATAGGAACTAGTACCAAGTAAATAATTTAATATGATGCTTTAATTGTAATGATAAATCCAGCAAGATTATACCATGATTTGCAAATATTAATCATTCCCATCTGTAATATATGTCATTAGTAAAAGGAAACTTAGGCGTATGTTGGTCCAAAGTGTCATATATTGATAACTAGAGCTTTATGTTGGATCTGAATGACTATCTCCTAAATCATTGCCAGGTCTGGTAGTATGAGTGTTAATTTCATATATGCAAAGAACCATATTGCCAGAAGCAAAATTGTTCCCGCCAACACTCCGACCACATAAAAATTCATGAAGTATTTTTGTGGAACAGTAAACTTCTGCAGATTGGAAAAGATCAATTCGAGATTATCAGAAAAATACAGAAGTTGAATATGAGATGAACTACACCATTAGGGATCCTCAATTTTCTGGAATGGTATCTTAGCATGGATGAAATATTTTATCATCAGCTCTTCAGTTTTTTTTAGGATCAAACATGAAATTTTCCACGGGTTGTTTCCTAACTGTTGCTACCTATTTCTAACTTCACAATCAACTAGTGGACAAGATTCACAAAATATGGTTTATGAGATGGCTGGTTCCTGATTTTCTAGTTGATGATAACATTAATCCACAATATTTACACTGTGCTTTTTGAAGACCATCTATCATGATAAGCTTTTGCTCAAAATGTTCCCTCACTTTTGCTATTTTACATGTTTGAGATTTGTGAAGACAATTCATGGCTAGAGCTATTAGCAGATGAAGTTTCAGAATTATGCATAGACATGCTTACATTTACTACTTGTGCTAAAAACTAGTGAAATGATAAGCACAATGCAACCATGACAATATCATGTAGTACAGTATAAACAGAGATAAGTGTGAAAAGTAATAAGATTAGTGATAATCAACAGAGTTAATAGACCAAATGGTGTAGATGAACTTGCATAATAATCCAAATATCCAGTAATAGCTTTGATAATCCAATAATCAACAGAGATTTGAATTATTTATATTTTTATTAGCAACTTTCAAACTGTAAGTGTTGATTTTAGTCGAATTGTGATGCTATGAGATATAATCTATTATATTATTAAAGGAATAGAAAAAGGAGCCTCCACGTTCGCTCTCATAGCCTAGAAATTCTCACATTAGTCGGAGAAAAAGAAAAACAGAGTCCATATAGAAATACAATTTAGAAATAGCTAAATTCGGAATTAAAAAATAAGGAATATTAAAAGAGGAGACTAGAGTCCATATAGAAATACAATTTAGAAATAGTTGAAATTCGGAATTAAAAAATAAGGAATATTAGAAGAGGAGACTAGAGTCCATATAGAAATACAATTAGAAAATAACTGAAATTCAGAATTAAAAATAAGGAATATTAGAAGTAGAGTATAAAAATAAGGAATATTAGAAGTAGAGTATAGAGTTCATATAGAAATACAATTAGGAAATAATAGAAATTTAGAATTAAAAATAAGGAATATTAGAAGAGGAGACTAGAGTCCATATAGAAATACAATTTAGAAATAGTTGAAATTCGAAATTAAAAATAAGGAATATTAGAAGAGGAGATTAGAGTCCATATAGAAATACAATTAGGAAATAACTGAAATTCGGAATTAAAAATAAGGAATATAAGAAGTAGAGTATAGAATCCATATAGAAATACAATTAGGAAATAATAGAAATTCGGAATTAAAAATAAGGAATATTAGAAGTAGAGTATAGAGTCCATATAGAAATACAATTTGGAAATAATTGAAATTCGGAATTAAAAATAAGGAATATTAGAATTAGAGTATAGAGTCCATATAGAAATACAATTTAGAAATAATAGAAATTTAGAATTAAAAATAAGGAATATTAAAAGTAGAGTATAGAGTTTATATAGAAATATAATTAGGAAATAGTTGAAATTCGGAATTAAAAATAAGGAATATTAGGAGTAGAGTATAGAGTCCATATAGGAATTTAAAACTAACTAAAATTCGGAATAAACATAATAAAATTAAAAGTAGAGTTTAGAGTCCGTATAAAAATACAATTTACAAATAACTAAAATTTGAAATTAAGAAAAACATGGGAAGAAGAGTTTAAAGTCAATATAGGAATACAATTTAGAAGTAACTAAAATTCAAAATTAAAAATTAAAGAATATTGAAAGATGAGTTTAGAGTCCACATAGAAATATAATTAGAAATAATAAAAATTTAGAAATAAAAATAAATAATATTGGAAAAAGAGCCTAGAGTCTATATAGAAATACAATTTACAGAAAATTCGAAATTAAAAAAAAATTAAAGACGAGTCTAGAGTCCATATAGGAATATATATAATTTACAAATAACTAAAATTTGATATTAAAAATAATTAATAAATAACACGTATATAAAATACAATATCAATATTACACATTGGTAGTATTGGTAGTTTTGTAATGTTATTGTGAAATTTAAAGTTATGTTGTCAATTTAATATATTTTAGTAATATAATGAGAAAACATATATGCTACTATATGAGATAAAATATAATGATGTTAGCCGCACAATCTGCGCGGGCCACCATGCTAGTTGCTTTATTATGTCATAATCCGAGCAAATTTTGTGGGCTCACGGTGTTATAAAATTTTTGAACATGAAGTAGGAACACCCAACAAGAAATTCGTTATAAAATTTTTGAACATGAAGTAGGAACACCCAAAAAGAAATTCCTGGAGTTGCCATTGCGGCGTCGCCTTCCATGGAGAGCGAGGGCTGGCCTGCCCTCCAGCCTCTGCTGTGCTTCGCCTGGATCGCCGCCACACTCCCCATCATTGCCGCTGCGCTGCCAATCCCCACGGCCGTTGGAGGTCACCTCCTTCGCCGGCTGCTCTCGGCCTTCTCCTCCCGCGGCAAGACCGTGAGGCCCTCCCCCGCCTCATCCTCTGGTTCCTCCTCTTCTAAGGCGGTAAGATCGGTTCAAGGTGCCGCAACACCTATTTGCTGCTTCGCCTTTTCTGTTCTCATTGGACTATCGCATGGAGTTCGTATGATTCCTTGGTAAACGTAACTTGGTTAGACCTTCTTAAGTTAAACGGAACTTGTTCAAAGCAAATATAAGTTTGGGTTGTTTAAGTCCAAAGTAGCTAGCTACTGTTTTGTAGTGTTTAGTTGATGCAAATCTGAAATACTATCGATTGATCTTGAGAAGATGATAACATTTTGAAGAAATTCGTTCTTAATCGTTGGGGAACCACTCCCGAGTTCTGGACTTAAAACAAATTTTTTAATTGGTGTTTGTCGACATGATACAGTCAGTTTTTCTGTCAACTTGAACATTCAGTTATGCTAACTTAGCTATACAAAAAATACATACCAAGCCAGTTTTGTGAGTAGAAACTAACATTATATAGTAGGATCGAATTGATTCCTCATCGGTTTTTCTTGAGCAATTGTTCATCCAATTGATGATCAATTGCACATGAGAACACTCACCAAATCTGTAGTTCATCTCATATTCAACTTATGTATAATTCTGATAATCTCAAATTGATCTTTTCCAATCTGCAGAAGTTCACTGTTCCACAAAAATACTTCATGCATTTTTATGTGGTCGGAGTGCTGGCGACAACAATTTTGCTTCTGGCAATATGGTTCTATGCATATATGAAATTGACACCATTATTGCTTGAGTCATCAAGTTATTCCACAATTTTCAGTCATCTTGTAGGCTCAAATTCATTCTCTTTTGGTCGTGTTCGCTCGCGCACCATGGGACACAAGTATCGTGTCTGGCGAACAGTATTTGCACTTCTATTGATGGAAGTTCAAGTGCTGAGACGACTATATGAGACTGAACATGTGTTCCACTACAGTCCTGCTCGGATGCATATTGTAGGATATTTGACAGGTCTATTGTAAGCTCCATCTTGTTTTATATCTTTTATGTTCTAGATCTCCATGGCACATTTGTTGTGAAAAATAGCCCACTTGAGTAGTTATCATGTCCTTTACTTTATTCTGTTGTTATGTTACATGATTATGCTTAAAGGTTTATAAATAATTCTTGTATGCAGTTTCTGCAGCTCATACATGTAGGTTGTCCACAAAATATACACCCGTCTAATGAGTTAATTTACTGCATGATTTTTCATTGACCTGAACTAATAAAAAGAAATACCACTTCGTTAGAAAATAGCCCAAGTGATGCTGATAACTACACTGTTCAATTCTTGACATTTTATTTGCTTTCTTCTGCCACAGTGCTTATATTAGGAAGAGGATATGCATTCATGCTACCGATGATAATTTTTTCATATTATTGTTGTTGTACTTTTGTTTTCATGTATAACATTTTCAGATTGACTTATAGTTTGGTTTTTCTTCATGCCAGCTACTATGTAGCTGCACCATTATCTCTCGCTAGCTCTTGTATTCCTGAAGCAGCAGAGTATTTTCAAGGTCAAGTACCTGAGTTCGTAGTAAAGGGTCGTGCGAGAATGCCAGATCTAGTAATTGATTCATCATCTCTACTACAGCCTCTTCTAAAGTTGGGGTGGACCCAGTGGATAGGTGCTGTTATATTCATTTGGGGTTCCCTCCATCAGATCCGTTGCCATGCAATTCTTGTAAGTATCTGCTCTCTAATGTCCCTAGATATACTAGCAAGTTTTTTTTTACATATATCGGCAGCATCAGAAATCTTCCTAAGGAAGAAAAAGAAAAGAATGAAATAAATCCACCCATATGCTGTAAGTTGGAACTGTCAAACTGCAACTGCAACCATAACTTGTTAGTGTAAAGCTGAAGGTATGGCTTGCTGGAACTGTTCTATTTTTTGAGAGGGTGGAGCCCATCAGGCTTAAGGAACCCCATTTACACAAATTGCTTGGTCAATCAACATCAGGAATCTTCCATGAAATGCCAATCATATTTAATGGGTTATGCATGTTTTTCTGTTTCTGTATGTCAGAAACTGTGGTATTATTCATCGTTGTCTTGGAAACTTCTAGGCTGCGGTTAATATTTTGAATTTCATGGTTTATTTTTTATTGCTTTTACAGGGATCGTTGCGTGAACACAAAGATTATGATGAATATGTAATTCCTTGTGGTGACTGCTTTAATCGGGTCTCTTGTCCTCATTACCTTGCTGAACTAGTGAGTGTTTTTCCTATGTCCTCATTTTCAGTATGTGGCATATACTGTTTTGCAAAATATGGCAGGTCTTGTTACTCTGCTTATTTAACAACGTCAAGTTAGATTAGGCCTATCAATATTTTCTTGGGTTTGTCAATAAAAATCATCTTGGGAAAGTTTGGACGGATTCCAATTGGTGGAAGCACTGGACTGAGTGTCTGAGTAGCTTCTGGTCCAGCTTCAACTCCTGGCTGGAATAGGTTGGGGGAGAAGCAGAGAACTTGTATGTTGCTTTTGCTGGGATTTAGAGTTTTTACACGGAAGCTGAATTCCAGTGCAGACTTCTCATCAAATTTGTTCTGTTACCCATTTCATCACCGTAGTTCTCTGAGTGCAGTACCATCTGAGAGTGAATATGTCCTTTTAGTATCACCCGTACTGACATATGCGAACATTCTTTGCATGGCTTAAAGATGATAAAACTGGATAATATCTTTTGAGTTTTCATATTATCTCACTTGTGTGAAGTAACTAGATGATTCTAACATGACAGCACATATGTTTCCGTGTAGCAGAATTGGTGCTTTTTGACTTGACAGTTGATGCAGTAGGGCACTGAGCTACTAAAAGAGCTCCTGTGGTTTTAAATTATTATGGCATTAACATTTACAGTTACTTTGGCTTGTAGGTAATATATTTTGGCATGTTGGTTGCTAGTGGTGCAGAAGACATTCCAGTGTGGTTCCTGTTCATATTTGTGGTACGCCGTACAGTAACTTTTTGAACAAAGATACTCAGAATCCAACTAACGTGCAATTATCATCTACATTTAGTTTCTTTTGTTTTTGTTCCAGTAGATTGAACTATCTTTTTTCTTTTTTCATTTTTGCAGATCACGAACCTGTCATTTGCAGCAGTAGAAACTTACAATTGGTATCTTCAAAAGTTTGAAGACTATCCTCGCTCTCGCTATGCTATCATTCCATTTGTATGCTAGTGTCTACGAAATGGCTACATTATGTAAAGCTTATGTATTTGCACACAATTACGACATGTAACTTAGCTTGATGTAAATGTGATAACAATCATACAACGTACTACCGTAGAGGCTGGAAGTTTAATATCAGAGCACCTATGTACGTTGCCAGTAGTAATCTTTGTGCTTCTACAGATTTAAATTACATGCCAATTATGTCATCGATGAAACATGTTTGGCATTTTAAACTTAAATGTTCTGCAACTCAAAGTGATCTAGGGTATGTTGTGCTCGTCCTTTGTATAAGGAAAAAAGTGCCGTCATGTTTAGAGACCCAAATACCTGATCTGGTCTGGAAAACGGAAGACTTCTGGATTTATCAGAGCGATACCATTTGAACTTTAAGCTTTAGGCAGATGAGTTGCTATAATTTTCTCAACCAACCACAAGTTTAATACAGTGACAAGGTCATCATCCTCTAAAGTAGCACGCCGTCAAAGCAAATTAACAGAAGGATAGCCTACTAAAAGAAGAAGCTGAGCTGATGAAAGTGAGCAAGAGGTGCCAGCCACCAACCCTCACACCTGGCCGGTATATGGGGGTGAGAGGCGTTTAGTTAGAAAGCACATCCACTGATCCGCGAGAGGGGACATGCTCCTTGTCTTTTCTCGGCTAATCCTCCCTCGTGGACATGTATTCAATCACATTGCCGACTCGGATCTTCTTTTGAAGGGAGAGCGCTACGCGTCGGACATACGGCGTGAGACGAAAAATCGGACGCATCCATGAGCCGTCTGATCCGCACACACGCTATCAGCCACCCGACGTCATCAAGCATTCATACATGCAAAACTATTTTAAACTATTATTTTAAAAAATATTTATCCAAATCATGATTCGATTGCACTATTAAATTCGTTGCAATTAAATCTTTAAAATAAGACCACACATGGATATATTCCGATGAAAAAAATAGCTTATTATTGATTTTTTTTTTAAATGTTGCATGTTATTCCACCAAGTATATTGGAATTTTTTCACTAGTTAGATCGAAAATGTTTCAATCGTTTAAATCGAGCATTGTTTCACCTTATATGAAAACAATGTTTTAGAAAATAGCGAAAGAATGTTTCAAGTCACCACAACATTTGATCCATATAAAGTAAAACATTATAAGTACACTAGGTGAAATATTTTTTGTGGAACAAAGAATGAAATGAATTATCTTAATAGAGAGATTCCATAATATGTGGTTGATTTATTGCAAAAGAATTTTTCAATTCGCTGCAACATTAGATCTATACATAGTGAAACATTGTAAGTACACTAGGTGAAACATTTTTAGTGGAACATTGTAAATACTTATTGAAACACTTAACCAATACATATGCAACATTTACAAATAAACTAGTGAAACACAATAAACTACTTACTGAAACATACAAATAGCACCATGAGATACATTAAAGAAAAGATATATACATTGTGACAATAATAAATATGTGCAACATAATAGAATTTTAGCTGAAACATCTGATTCTCACATATGAAACATTAAGTTTAATTGGTTGAAACATATGTGTGTGTTTTTATTATAATATAGTTATGTGAGATCTTGTTGTAAAGATTTAATTATAACGAATACAATGGTGTAATCGGATTGTAGATTGGATGAGTAATCTAGAAGAAAAATCGTTTTCAAATTTGCTAAAAGGGTGTTATGTACATGCAAATAACCTCGTGTCATCTCTCCTTTATGCATATTAATGCTCAGAAAGGAAGCATATGTAACAGATAGAGGATCTGACAAAGGCTGTATGCGGCAAAATCATAATAAGAGGTGTCCGATTTTTTTCTCAAGATCGAACGATCGGATTGAAGCATTTTCCTTCTTTTAAGTGTTGTTTACTACAGCTCTTACTAGTATAATCCTTGTTCTTTTGCACGGCTAAAACACTAGCTCAGACTACTCAACGACAGACACCATCAGAGCTGAACTTTCCCTGGTTCAGGTGTTGGGATATGGAATTAGAATCTATCCGTGGAACTCAGAAAAAGAAATTTGCAATTGCCACTGTTTTATCAGCGAGTTGCTAGTGCTTGTTCGTTTGCTCGCTGCACTATTTACTTTATAGGAGCGTGGTGACGTTGCAGGAGTTGGTGCCGGAAATCCGTTAACTGAAACTAATGAGATAAACTCAGAACTGATAGTGAAATGCCGATACAGTAGAGTAGGCGCCTGAAAACTGACGAACATAAGGCATAATTGGAATCCGACGTTTCTCAAGGTTCGTTCGTCAAAATTTTCAGCTTCGATTTCCAACGTCACTGAATTGGATGCCACCGTGTGTATAGCCTAAACATCTCATTTTTAATGAGAGAAGAGATCAAATTCGGCATCGATCAATTCGATGGTTTCTTGATGGTCCTACGATGAGAAGTTGAGAACGATGTGTGTGTGATGTGAGAGCCAGTCCAACCTCTGCCGTTTTGGACGGCTTTGCCACGGGCAGCGGACAATAAGCGAAAACGCGACCCAAACCTTCTTTCGGCAGCTGCCTCTCGTCGTCGTTTTCCCGCTCATTTTCTGCATTTCGGCTGGGACTTGGAGTCGTTTTCTTCTACCCATGAGGACACGCGAGGTCTCCGCTCGGAGTGTGTGACAGTGTGAGACTCATCCAAGAGCAACAATGGTGTGATTTCTCTTACGCTTTGTACATCCACAAGTTGACATTTATTGTTTTTTTTCGCTCTCCATATTTCTTCACGATTCAATCAATCTGCCATGGTGAGGTCATGGACTAACTCACCAACCATGAGTCCATGACCTCACCGCCATTATTCAGTTTCTGTGTATTGGGCTTCTTGTTTAAGAATTTGAGATGCGTCCTTGATGCTTTGTGATGAATAGTGGAAACTTGGATCTAGGAATGCTTAATTATTTTCAGATTATTCACCTGATTATTTGCACAATGTTGGAAAAAATAACATTTTGGGGACAAAAAAACATTCTTCTATTGTATACTTAGACCACTTATTTTAAATTATTTATTAATGTTGTCGAATGACAACTGTGTCCGTCGAAGAACGTGGTTCGCTCTTGGTGGAAATAAAGCAGAAAATTAATATTTTTATTGAAATTGTTGGGATCCTCCCATTACATGCCCTATGGGGCCTATTTTTAGGCTTAGTACATGCCCCTGCACGCTAGGGTTACTAAGTAGAGAGAAATTTATATGGCTACCCTTATGATAGTAACATTTATGAGGGTAATTATAGACAATATGACCTTGGGCCCTTATATGGGCCACTAAATGGGCCTCATAGGGCCATTCGGCCTGCTTGGTTATTGAGGCTACAGCTTCGGGGGCGAAAGGGCTCGGCCCTGTGGTGAAGGCCTCAGGCTTCGCCTAGCGCTTCACCCTGAAGTCCTTGTCTTTGCGATCCTCGGATCTCTACCGCATGTGGTACGCCTTGGTGGTTGTGGATGGCGTTTCGGTGACATGGTCGAAGGTCCTCATGGCATGCCTGCAACAAGCCCTTCACGGGTAAGGATGAGTAGTGAGCTTCGGTCGAGACCGTGTAAAGCCCCGGGTATGGCATGAGGCGCCCCCTTTCGGCCAATATTCCCGTCGAAACCTATCTACTTTTGAGAAAAAAAAAGTCATAAGTGAAAAAATCTATTTCCTTTTGTCGACGTTTGATGTCGCGATTCCGGTATTTGCATAGTATGGGGATCGTTGGTACTAGGATATACACGAGACTGGGGTAAAAGAGATGGAGACAGCGATTTTTATACAGGTTCGGGCCCCTGCATTGTCAGGTAATAACCCTATATCCTGTTGGTCGAAGCCGGTTGTTGCTCTTATTCATCATAATCACACCAGTACAATATTTGGGGTAGCCTATCTAACTGTTGTCGACATGGCGGTCTGAAGGTCTGACTCGTAGTCGACAACAGGGTAGCTTTCCTCCTCGAGTCCGCATCCGGCGAGATCAGAGACAACGCTATATCTCTCCTGACGGTATCCGTAGGCACCGTAGGGGACTAGCTATGCCTATCTCTGAAGTCGATATCTGGCGTCTTGTCTTGGCGTATGTTGGCTTGTATGTTGTGGCTTCTGTTGTTCCGTGTCCCCTCTCCTCCTAGGGAGCCTTATATTTATACCCATAGGTGTCCCCTTGTCCAAGTAGAACTAGGGAAACCAATATAGATACAATCCGAGTAGTCCTTGTCGTTTCCATGTAGAACTCTATTCATCCTTCCTTATGCAGAACTCTTCCTATATCCGAAAGTTGTTTCCGTATAAGATATGGTATGTGGTGAGTCCTGCCGAGATTTAGTCAACTACTATTAGGTATGTGGTATCCATAACCCTGACACCTTTCCATTTATGGGCTCTTTGGTGGTCCATTTTTGCCTTGGGAGCTAACGGTTCGCATTCGGCCTTTTACTGTGTCATTTGCCCCTTTTTATTGTGCGGCCCACGGGCTATCTTCGCGCAGATAGCCGTTGGTTCAAGGGATGCATGCCACACATCGCACATCCATCGGTTTGGCACTCAACGGTCGCGAGGGCGGAGGAGTATAAATCCAACCTCCCCCTTTCCCCCGGAGGCTTACCTCAGTTTTTTACCGCAGCACTTTTCTCCTCAATTCCTGCTTCTTGCGCTCACGCGTTCCAGGAAGACAGCTATTCACCCAGTTCCCCTTTCACCTTTGTAGCTTCGCCACTTCTCAAGCCGAAATGGCTCCTAGGAAGACTGCTTCGGCCGCGACAACCGGGCCCGATCTCGGAGCGATGCCGGATGACTTGTCCAGCTTCTTGGGCAAGTTGTTTGTCAAGGAGGGTGATCTGGGCGAACTTGTCGCCTCTGGGGCAGTCGTCGAAGGGCAAGCTTTCCTTAGCGCGAGAAAAATATAATTATGAATAGTGTACATTGTTATTAGAAGATGGTTGTTCCACTAAAATGCTACATGAGACAATTTTCACTGTGCGCGTGATCGACAGTTTAGCACCGTTGTTATGAGAAGACAGTTCCACTAAAATGAGACGTGGCATTTTTCACTGTGCTCGCGATCGACAGTTTAGCACCGTCACGTACCCCTATTTGAGGGGTGGCTCGGCTCTTTCTCCTCCATATAGCTAATTCAGCCTTAGACACATGGTCTGACCGC